TATTATCTACAACGAACAATTTATCACATAAATTTAGTGATATATATTATTCTATATATTACGCCTTTTAAATTCCTTGAGGAATATAAGGCTGCAAGATATCGTCCCGTTTTCTGTAACAATCCAGTTTTTTTTTTTAATTGAGTAGGGTGTTAGCCTACTAAATAACCCTAGACCTAGAGGATAAGGTTTTATATTCAGAATGTTCCTTCTCCTAGACCAGTTGCCACCCAAGCCTATAGAACCAAGTCTTTCCTACTATTTAACAATAGCTGGGGACAGAAGAAGAGGATTCATATTTTTCCCAAGGGTATTAGCGCTCGAATGTCAAATTCGGCTCTCCGATTCCTCAATCTGAACCGCTATCCATTACTCCACCGAACCTCCTTTGGTGAAGTTCGGGCAAATGGTCACGAATGGTCGGAGTATGCTCTTAGGCAGATCATTAATATACAGTAGAACGCCTGTAGGAGAGAGCCCTGTGAATCGCCGGCATTGATCTTAAAGCCTTCATATGACTGGCTTTTAAAACGACCTTCAGTGACTGACCTGTTAGGAAGGGTTCCATAATTGAGGGAGCCCTGCCAGAGATCCCATAGCTGAATAGTTTATGTAGCCGACCTGATGCCACACCTTGCTAAAGTTACTGGGATTTTTAACGCATTTGATAATTCTTTCTTCAAAGAGAAATGTTTTGCTTGTATATTGCCCTGTGAATGCCATTAACTTAACGCGTAAATGCCATAATGCCAACATTAAAAGCCAAATTTTAAAAAGAGGCAACTAAAATCTATAATTACAGTTGTGTCTCCAAGCATTAAGATCTTGGGAGATGATAACAGCTGAACCAATAGCGAGGAGGATTCGATCAAAAAGGAGAGTTTTTGCATAAACTGTCTTCCCACTCTTACAAATATAAAAGCGGTTAAGTAAAATATTTCCATCAATTAAATTGCATTAAAATTCACTGAAAATTCATATACACACGAATTTCGTAGAAGAGGCATTTTAGCGACATCAGGTTTAAAGTTCAAAGTGTTCCCAGGGTATGCTCGTTTTTCCTTAAGAAAATCGAGTTATTTGCTGGTCATGAGTTCAATCCTCGGGTTAGTAATTACACTAAGTTATATGTTCTGGAGTTCAGTGGAAAAAGACCAGAGATATTGTCAGGATGAATTAACTCGAAATGCTCAACAAATACAAGAATATTCACATATGAGAACAAACTGCTCTCACTATAAATTGAATAAAGTGTTCGTTTCAAAATTCTCTGAAGCTTACCAACTACCTAAAGAAAGTTTCGTTTGGTTTGTATTTTTTTTTAAGGTATATATACCTCAATGGGTCATTTAATGCCAACAACTTTTTTTTCTTGGTAATATTTTTGTTTTGTCAAAAATCTATTTCTGTTAATATTTTTTCCTCAAAAATGTATAGCTGGAATATTATTTTTTCAAAAAAGTGCAACTGGTAATATTTTTTTCTAAAACGTATAGCTAGTAATATTTTTTCAAAAACGTATAGCTGGCAACATTATTTTTTCAAAAACATTATCAGAAGCCTTGCTGTTGGACGTAGTTTATCGTCATACCCAGGACGCGGATCTAGTTTATCGTCATACCCAGGACGCGGATCTAGTTATATCGTCATACCCAGGACGCGGATCTAGTTTATCGTCATACCCAGGATGACCTAAAGAAAGCTGAATGGTGCAACAGCCGACGACGAAGGACACTAGTCCCAGTAAATCGGTGTATAATAATGCTTATTCACCGTCATAAAAATGATGATCATCATTATAAGAATCATGATAATTCATCGTTTCAAAAGTTATGAGAATTCCCCGTTTAAAAACGATGTTAATTCTTTGTCATAAAAATTATGATAATTCCTAGTTTCAAAATTCATTATAATTCCCTATCTAAAACTTATATTTCCTAGTTTCAAAAGGTATTACTCCTCTTTTAAAAGTTATGACTATTCTTAGTTATAAAAATCATAATACTACTTCGTCATAAAAATTATGATCTGAGTCATAAGATGATTCCTAATTTCAAAATTTATAATAATTCTCCGTCAAAAATTATTATACTTCTTTCAATATCTGTCTATATTTTTGAGATGAGGTATTATTTTCCTAATCTTTGTCGCCATATTTATTACAAAGTTTCAGCCTTTCAGTATCTGTCTATATTTCTGAGATGAGGTATTATGTACACTATTTACATTATTCGGACTATTGTCCTCATCTTTGTCACCATATTTATTACAACGTTCCGGCCTTTCAGTATCTGTCTATATTTCTGACATGAGGTATTATGTACATTATTTACATTATTCGGACTGTTGTCCTCATGTTTGTCGCCATATTTATTACACGTTTCGGCCGTTGTGCGCTCCGGCCTTTTTCAGGTGGTTGGAATGTCGAACTGAACCTTTATTTCGCTCATTTCCTTATTTCAAAAGTTATAATTCATCGTTTACAAATTAGTCATAAAACGTATGATAATTCTTAGTCATAAAAATCATGATAATTCATTGTCTAAAATAATTATTAATTATGATGAAGTCGGAAGTGAAGTTTATGAGGATATTTGAGGATAGATAATGATTGACAAAAAATTATTATAATTTCTCCGCATAAAAATTATGATAGTTCATCGTCTCAAAAATTATAATTCCTCGTCATAAAAATTATGATAATTTCTCGTCATAAATTTTTTTTTTTATTCATGTTCATCCAAAACAAACAACAAAATTCGCTGAATGACGAGAATGATATAAATGAATGAGGAAGAAGTAAAAATTGAAGATGATGAGGATATGGAGGATAGATAGCAATTCATCATTCCTTGTCCCCAAAATTATGATAGTTCCTAGTCATATAAATTATATGTCCTTGTCTCGATAATTATGATAATTCCACGTCATGAAAATTATAATCGAGCCTAACACGATGCATAAAAAAGACGGCTAAAAAAAATGGCACAAATGTCGAACCATTGAGCTTATCTTTACAGATAGAAAAGATCTGAAACGAATCTCCAGTCGGATTAACTATTAAAACATCGGTCAATTCCGGAAAACGTGCGTCATAAAATTTAACCTTTCTTTTTGCTTCTAATTGTGTTTCCGATACACAGACAAATAAGACAGAAACAGACAAATAATGCTGTTTGGTATATGAGATAATATTCTGCAATAGAATTTGGAAATTGTAAAACGGAAATTCTAACCAATAAAATTCGTTCTCTTAAATAAATGGCAACCTCGCTCATACTTCAGGGAATTGTTCGCGTTTAATCGATCAAACATACAGCAGAAATAGAGAAGTAAAACGCAATATGGAAGAAACTTGCACACTCAACTGCTTCTACTCCATTATCGTCTGCTCATCCGTCTGCCTGCATTCAAACAGAAAACCCTGAACGCAGACGATACAAGGAGGCATTGCTTCGATATGCTCGCTATTATTTTTATTTTTCACTGAAATATTTGGCACTTAATGCAAGAATTTCTTCCTAGCCATTTGCGACCGTAACCGGAAACGTTGTGCCGACCATTACTACTGGCTTTGTCTTCTATTACTAAATTATAAGGAGCTTTCTCCATTTTTACCATGTGCATCAGAATACATTCCTCAGAGGTGATTCATGTGTGTTTTATAGAAAGGTTACCTCTCGATGGGATTGAGGAGAGGAATTTAAGTGGAAAAGCAACAAGAGCTTTGAATTTGTGGTTTGAGGTGATTCAGTCCAACAATGTGACGGAATTATAATCGAGGCTAGAAAACGGATAGGTCAATACTTTTCGGGTATTTTCTTTCAATAATAAATATTAGTACCGTTATTCATTGTGCTTGTTTCTCCATTTCTTAGTTCCTAAAGGTAGTTAACGCGTTCGCCCTATCAATATCTCATAAATAAAGTTTTCATACTAATCGCGAGGAAAGACGGGAAAAAAACGTTTCATAGACATTGGTTTCCATGAGAGGAAATGATTGATTCACTTTCTTCGGTTTGGAGTAATGGATAGCGGCTCGGATTAGGAATCGGAGAACCGAGTTCGAATTCCAGTCGAATCCATTACATTTACTTGTGCTACTTGAAAAATCTATGAATCCTGTTCTTCTCTCCCCAGTTATGGGTAAATAGCAGGACAGACCGGGTTCTATAGCCTCGGATGGCAAATGGTCTACCGCAGAAAAAATGGCAACCTACTTCGGGAAAAAAATCTCCATTATCAGTCAGGTATCGAAAGATACATGATCGCCTAAGCGTGTATCACGCATGGCACATAACTGACTGAAATTCACTTACGCACTAATACCCTCGGTAAAGGTATAATCCTGTTCTTCTCTCCCCAGCTATGGGTAAATAGCAGGATAGGCCGGCTTCTATAGCCTTGGATGGCAAAAAGTCTACCGCAGAAAGAAATGACAATCTAGTGCGGGATAAATCTGCCTTGTCAGTCATATATCGAAAGATATATGATCGCCCAAGCGTGTATCACGCATGGCACATAACTGACTGAAATTTACTTCTGTGCTAATACCTTTGGGAAAGGTATGAATCCTGTGCTTCTCCCCCCAGCTATGGGTAAATAGCAGGACAGGCCGGCTTCTATAGCCTTAGATAGCCACTGGTCTACCACAGAAAGAAATGACAGCCTACTGCGGGAAAAAAAAACTGCTTTGATAGTCATATATTGAAAGATCGCCTAAGCGTGTATCACATATGACACATAACTGACTTGCAGGTTATTTAAAGCCTGAAAATATTTTTGATTCTAAGAACTTTGGTAGGAAGAGACAATATTGATTTAGCGATACAAGTCTTACAAATTAATTCATAGCTAGGGGGCGGTGAAAGAGGTAAGTCTATATCTTCCCCAAGGGTATTTGTGCTTAATTGAATATAAGGAACCCAATGGAAATTGGAACTCGGCTCTTCAATTAAAAATTCAGAGCCGTTATCCATTACCCTGCCCACACAGCCAAGCTTACAACACTTCGTATTCACATGCGGTCACCTATCCAGGTACTGATCAGGTTCGACGTTGCTTAACTTTAGTGATCGTACGGGAAGTGATTTGGCCGTAAGCCAGTGACAAAAAGAAATTAAGAGGAAAAGGCGATAACACTCTCATTTGTTAAATGTCTGCTTCCGTGAAATGGAAAACCGATCTTTCCATCATTTCTACCGGGATGAACCAACCAGTGGACGTCAGTATCAATAAGCCATTCTAGTGGTTTGTTCGCAACAACTGAAACGAATAATTGGTAGAGAGGGCACAAATCGCTCACTCCGACAGGGTACCTTTTTTAATCTATACGTTTCTGGGACCGTTCACAACTCGGGTAACGACTCGTACGATTGTCACATTATTATTATTATTATTATTATTATTATTATTATTATCATTTTCTTTAATTTCTGGCGTTTACACATTTCTTTCCGGGTCCCGCCCAGAGACCTAAGGTTAGAAATGGCGTCATGACACTTTCCACTGACAAAAAAAAAAAAAAAATTTAAATTACATAGATAAAGCCCTTCGTAAAGTGTGGGCTGTACTTGTCAGAACAATTTTTTGTATCTCCTTGAGGCATCGACCTCCAGGAATCCCTTCAATTAGTCTACTGCAATCTTTTCCAACCAGTCCTAGGGCTCCAACTACAACAGGGATTGTTGATGTTCCCATATGCCACATTTTCGCGATTTCTATTTCAAGGTCCTTGTACTTTGACAACTTTTGAATATCTTCAAAGATACATTGCAGTCAGCAGGGACTGCCATATCAATAAGGAGGCACCGTTTTATTAATAATAATAATAATATTATTATTATTATTATGCTTTTTCCCCAGTTTCTTAATTACTTTGTTAGCACGTTCGTTACGCCCTGCCGATAATAATTAATGGACTATTCCGTTTTGATCGCGAGGAAAGACGGAAAAGACATATCAGAGAGAAAAAGAAAACAAGAAAGAGAGAAAGAAAGAGGAGGGGATAACACTCTCATTTGTTTAATGTCTGCTTCCGTGAAATGGAAAACCTTGTAAGTTTCGAATCTTTTCATTTGAACCCTCTTACTTCTTTAAATACTGACCTACATTCATACTTATGAATGTTATTGCAATATTGTTAAGCTCAAATATTTAAAGATACAATAGGCGGGGAATTTCTTAGTCGTAGAACTCGCAAAGAACTTATTCAATCATTAATTTAAGAATTAGGATTCAACAAAAACTTCAAAAGGTAAAATCAGGAAGTTTTCACGAATACTACGACTTGAATATTATTTGTTCCAAGATTATCAGAAAACTACGAGGTTCACATATTTAAGAACAAACAAGAATCGAACGCGTATATCTTGAACATGCAACAAATTATATCAGTAGAAATGACGTTAGTATAAGTATATGAAATTTCAAGATTTCAAGAGGAAATTATTGAATAGGACCAAGCCGACATTTCTTAGGTAAGGATGGTGAATTTCTGGATAGATATTCCTGTACATGAGAAGGTGCTCAAAAGTTATAGCACCGAATAATTGATAAATCCTTTCAAATTCAGATATTAGCGCGTCTTTTGTGAGGTGAGTCGTACCTTGAACGTTTCAGGACTCCTTCGCATATATATATATATATAGTATAGAAATTCAATTACCTAAACCGTGAAAATATAAGCTATGTCTTTTTCCTCCCATATATCGTAATTTCTTTCATTCAGTTTATGGAATGAATAACACACAGAAAAATGTCAATCTGTTTCGTTTCGGCATTAGTCTTACGTTGTTGCTTATTCTCCCTTACTCTTTTGATTTCGTTACTATCAACCGCGAATAGCATGCCTAAACATTGTGCTTCTTCCAGCGATAATTATATAGTAATAAACTTTGCAAGCCGTTTTTGACACGCTCGATCATTCAAACTACCTTATCCATAACCTGCGTAAATGTTTCATCAGTTTTTAAATCGCATTTTTTTGCTTTTCTTATAAATAAAAAAAAGCTTAATATATACAAATGTTGCTTATTATAAAATCCTTAATGAAGAAATTTCGATAGTTATGACAAACATTTCTTTTAAATACATTCTGATGATAGTTTTGTCGCAATTTAATCAAAAGTGGTCGTTTTAATGATTAGTCTGTTGGTTGTGTTTTACGGCATATCAACCTCAATGGGTTATTTAATGCCGACAACTTTTTTTTCTAGTAATATTTTGTTTTGTCCAAAAATCTATTTCTGGTATTATTTTTTCCTCAAAAATGTATAGCTGGTAAAATTATTTTAAAACATGTATTGCTGGTAATATTTTTTTTTTTTCAAAAACTTATTGCTGGCAATATTTTAAAAAAATATATTGCTGGTAATAGTTTTTTTTCTTCAAAAACTTATTTCTGATAATATTTTTTACAAAGTATTTCTGGTATTAAAACCTATTTTTACACTTTTACAATGCTTTTTACCTCAGTTTCGGAGTTAACTATTTTCCCATAGCTGGGACCCTAACAGGTGCTACCACCCCGGTTCAGGGTAGACCTGGGAACACCAGCAGTTAAGAGGTGGTTTCACGCTCCTCAAAACCTCAGGCCTTGTTGTTGGACATACCCAGGATGCGGATGTAGTTTATCGGTGATCGTTTTAATGATTAGTTTGCATGATTAGTTTAAGAAAATAAAACAAGCAAGGTTCGATCTCGTATCTCTTGTTTTTACAATATATTTTTATCAGACTAACTACTGTAGATATTAAGCTACAACGGTCAGCAGTTAGTGTTGTTTAAATCTAGTTATAAATAACTTTAGGCTTTTTTGATTTGTTTTACGGCATAATAACCTCTTTAATACCGACAAAATTTTTATTACTGGCTATAATTTTTTTCTTCAAAAATTCATTGCTGATATTAAAACCTATTTTTACACTTTCATACTACTTCAACCCCAGTTTGGGGGTCAAATATTTGCCTATAGCTGGGACCCTAACAGGTGCTACCACCCAGCGTCAGGTGGACCTGGAATACCAGCAATTACGAGGTGGTTCCACATTCCTTAAAAACTCTTGATCAGTGACCTTGCTGTTGGATGCAGTTTATCGTCTTACCCAGGACACGGATGTAGCTTATCGTCTTACCCAGGACGTATAATTTTAGGTTAAGTATATGAAATCTCAAGAGGAGAGTATTGAAGCGGACTAAGGTGCCAATGGATGATTGCCCTTAGTAACTGAAAAAAAAATGTATAATAATTAAAAATATATTTTCGAATAAGGTGTACCCATGTTTAACTCATATTCAATAAAATTACCCTGACACTCGATCAGTTATTATTCGTTCATGTTGAACATCACGTCCACAACGAGAACTTAGCATTATGAGGCGGCTGTTTAGTTTCCCTCTCGATGTGTACGAGACTGGTTCAGATCAGGAGAGGTGGTCATATAATGAGAATCACAAGAATTTTCGGTTGGCAACTCCTATAATCTGATTTGGTTTATTTTTTTATTTTTATTTTTTTTGTTTTGTTTTGTTTTTTAGATTGTAAGAAATGTTTGGAGAAAAATAATGATTCAAGACCTGCTAATTAACCCATAGCTGGGGAGAGTGAAGACATCGGTTCATACATTTCCCAATGTTATTTGCGTGTGAGTGGATATAACGAAACCGAGTGGAATTGGAATCCGGCTTTCCGGTTTCGAATTTTGAGCCGTTATCCATTATGAGAAACGGAAGTAATTCCTGTAATAACGGAAGTAACTCCGGTAATAAAAGAAGTGGATGAAAATGAGAGAGAAGGAAAAAAAAGAGAAGGAAAAAAAAAGAAAAAAAGAAAAAAGGAAAGGGTAAGAAAAGAAAGTAGAAAAGGAACGAACATTTATAGAAGGAAGGAAAAATGCTACGAAAGAAAAAAGAAAGAAAATTATAAGATGAATAAATACGACAACCCTCTCCATCTCGATGGTTGAATTGACTCCAATGCTTTGCGGGCGGAGAGAAGTGGGTCATTATGACATTGTCATATTGCACACAATCCCAGGGTCATCACAGATGATATGAACTTGGTGTGCATCACCGTGGGGATCCCCGCAGGGTCCATGTGGAATCATCTCTTCTTCCTTCAATTTCCTTTCAAGAATCCTACCTTCTCTTAGTCTTTGTTTATGCCGCGCCATTTATTTCCTGTGACAGAATAGAAGTTGCTATGTCAGTGTGTTTGATAATGTCTGAAAGAGAAATGAGAATTTGGTGCATGCTGCATAACATTAGGTTAGGTTGTTACATTTTACCACTTGCTAAAGTTGTTTTTCTCAAACGCACGGTTCATTCCTTATTCATAAGATACGACTGAGAGAGATATGTCAAGATTGTAATAGATACATACATAAAAAAAAGAAAGAATAAAGAATACAGACTGAGAAAGAAAGACAGAAAGAAAGGATCAAGGAAAGATACAGACTTAGGCAGATGAAGAAACATAGAATAAATAAATAGATAGATATGAACAAACTGAGAATAGATAGCGATGTAATGAATATACATACACCTGGGTTCCCCCTCACAGTAATATGATTGGCTGGTGTCAGCCATAAATGCAGACTGATGTGGAGAATCAGGACGACGCCTATTGCCTACCACTACGATGAGGACCAGTCCATTACAGTTACCTGCTAGATTGTCCTACCCGGTTACAGTAGTCAACAACCACTTTGCTACTTCGAACAAATATATCCCTTTCCGGGACATATCAGATAGATAGATAGATAGATAGATAGATAGATAGATAGATAGATAGTTGAAAGACAAAAATAGACAGATAGATAGATAGATAGTTTAAAGACAAAAATAGATAGATAGATAGATAGATAGATGTGAAAAGGCTTAGATAGATAGATAGATAGATAGATAGATAGATAGATAGATAGATGAAAGACAAAAATACATAGATAGATGAAAAAGAGATAGATAGTTGAAAGACAAAAATAGATAGATAGATAGATAGATAGTTTAAAGACAAAAATAGATAGATAGATAGATAGATAGATAGATAGATGTGAAAAGGCTTAGATAGATAGATAGATAGATAGATAGAAAAGAATGAACGAAAACAGATTTGATCCCATGAATATAGAAAGATTTTTAATCTGCCAATCAATCCAAATTTTGACGGGCAACCTTGAAAATCAGAATTTGTGATCCTAGATGGAACACAGATCGCTGGCACTGTTTCCAAATACATATGTGATCTCATTCATGTTTTGTTCAAGAAATTCACTGACCTTTCCTTGATATTACATAAAACCAGGGATGCGAAATAAAATGGAAAACAAAATGTCTGTTGCACTAAGTGGGACGGCTTTATTTGTTTGTCTTGAAAAATCAACATTCAGAATAGTAGCTTTTCTTTTTTTTTTTTTTACTTTGGCTTGAATATCTCTGAAAAGACGTAACTATATCAGCTGTGACTTTGCCTTCCCGCCATTCGTTGACATTGTACGGAGTACTAAGTGATTGCTTTACAGAAAAGGTGTCCTTAAGATTGGAATTTTGAAAATGCCTTACTTAAAATATTGACGATAAAAGTGGGTGGGATGAAAGGGCGTAAGAGAAAAGAGGCGACGAGTCAAATTACTGACCAAACAAAAAGAGATTACCGCAAAGAGGCGCTCAAATTTAGCCACTCAAATTGTTTTTTTCCCCGGTCGAATTTGTCCTGGAAACCGCCCAAGCATTTCACACGCCAATGGTCGAAGCAACATTATTTACCGCAGCTTAAGAGAAAAGCAAAGCCAACTGATCGATATGTGTCTTGCGAAGACGGTAAGTGATTCGAATCAGGCTGTCCGGTTTCGGGAAGGGGAGGTATGGCTGGAGTGTAATCGATGTTTCCAGAAAGTCTGTCCCGATTCCAGCCTGAATGGTTCCCATTGCGGCAGACGATACTCTGCTGGGCAAAACAGATAAAAATGAACGGCAAAACAAAATGAAAAGGAAAATTAGTGACGCAAAAGAGAAAAGAAAGCAAAGAAGACAAGAAAATAATAATGGCGATTTAGGAATGGGTTCAGTCAAGAAGAGGGGACGTCAGGGAATGCAGAAACAAAAGAGATGGCAGAATATATATATATATATATATATATATATATATATATATATATATATATATATATATATATATATAGAGAGAGAGAGAGAGAGTGAGGGAAGGGAGATAAAGAAAGAGAAGGCTAAATGTACACGTAAATGTCGATGGTCAATTTAAGTGTTTATAGATAGATAGATAGATAGATAGATAGATAGATAGATATGGATAAACTGAGATAGATATAGAGATAGATATGAAAGATAGGTATAGACAGAAAGAGGTTAAGAGAAAAACGTGGAGTGTAGGCTAAATATACACGAAAGAGACGATGGTCAAATTAAAGTGCTTATTGATAGTTATATATATATATAAGTGCCTTCGATTGTCTAGATTCAGATAGTGTAGGATTATATAGAGATGATGGATTATTAGTTGTTAAAAACTCAACTAAAATTAAGGTAGACCGTATTAGGAAAATGATCTATAGGGTATTTAAGGATTTAGGTCTTAGGACAATAGTTACTACTAATGTTAGACAAGTAGATTTTCTAGATGTCACCCTAGATCTTGCTAACAATATTTTCCAACCATATGTGAAAGTTAATTCAACCCATTATACGTGCATCCTAATTCCAACCATCCCCTTCGGTTATCAAACATATACCCACTTCCATTGAATTTAGAATTAGCGCTAACTCTTATAATAAGGAGGTTTTCAATAAACATAGTGATTTTTATAATTCTGCACTAAAAAATAGTGGATACAAAAATAGCACTATTCAATATAAAACCCTGTTAATTGCAACCATAATAAGAAAAAGAAGATCTAGAAAGGTTATTTGGTTCACTCCCCTTTCAATGTTATGGTCAAAACTAAGTTAGGGCGTATATTTATTAACCTAATCAAAAACATTTCCCAACCCTGAAACTAACCCACTTAGTAAAATATTTAATCCTAATACCCTTAAATTAAGCTATAGTTGTGCTGATAACCTAGAGCAGATAATTAAAAAACATAACAACATAGTCTTTAACAAGTATAGGAATTCAAAAGGCTTGACTAATCAACAGGTTACTAACTGCAATACTAATTATAAGAATACAAATAACAACTTATGTAATTGTAGGAATCCGAATAATTGTCCACTACAAAATAACTGTGGGATTACTTCTGTAGTCTATCTTGGTACTATTTCAACAATTGAAAATCCAAATATAAAGAAGTTTTACATTGGTTCTACTATGAAAACATTCAAGGAACGCTGGCGGGGGCATATGCAATCCTTTAATCACAGTGAATATAGGTACATGACTTCATTATCCAAGTATTTTTGGAATCTAAAAGATAAGAACAAAACACCTACGATTAAATGGAGTTTTGGTTACGAAAGCTCGTACATGTAACTCCCTATATACCCCATGTTACCTATGCCTTAATGAAAAATTTGAAATTATTAGATTTAAAGACAAGGCTGATCTCTTAAATCAAAGATATGAACTGACAGTAAATTGTAAACACCGTTATAAATTTAACTTAGTGTAGGGTCGTATACTTTAAATGATAATGATATGTCGCTGTATTTTTTAATAGATTAGTATTTTTATTGCATAATGGTCATACTTACGATATAAGTGTGTATTGTTTACCTGCATAGTGTTATCAGTGTTGGTGTAAATATATATATATTTATTTATGTGTTGGTTAGAGTATTTGCACTGAGGAATGTGTAGGTTGGTGTATAAATGTATTTATGGGTTTTTTTTGTTTTTTTTTACATGTGAGGTGTATGTGTGGGGTATGTATGTATATATATGTGAGTGTGTGTGTATATATATATATATATATTATGGGGAAGGTAAGGTAGATTATGAGAGAAAAGGTTAATGATTATTACTGTATATGTGTGTGTGTGCCTATATATGTATGTGTGTATGGGTGTGTGTATATATGTATGTATTTGTGTGTGTATGTGTGTATATGTGTATGTATGTATGTAGATATATATATATATATATGTTTGTATATATATATGTATATATATATATATATGTGTGTGTGTGTATATATTGGATATATATATATATATATATATATATATGCATATATATATGTATGTGTGTATATGTATGTATGTGTGTGTGTGTGTGTGTGAGTATGTACAGGTATGTATATGATTAAATCACGGCAGTATAATGGTTGGCCAGCATGGTTCACTAGATTGGGTGCGACTGAGTAATGAGTTCGTTCCTCACTGGATGCCCCTTGATTTCAGCTTTGTGCCACGATATATTTGTATATATATATGTATGTGTATGTGTGTATGTATGTGTGTATATATATATATGTGTGTGCATATATATATATGTGTATATATATCTGTATGTCCTATTTTATTGTGTATGTGTATTTATATTTAAGTATATTTCTGTTTGTATGAATGTGTTTATATATTTGTATGTTAGACTATATGTATATTGCTGTGTGTTGGTGTTTGAAGGTATATTTATGTATCTATATGTTAGTTCGTTTATATATGTATTTGGTTGAAAGTTGTTGTATTTTTATGTATGCATGTATATATGGGTGGTTGTTATTGCAGGTAGATATATTTATGTATATATATATGTTTAATTGTAGATATGTATGTATGGGTGTATATATATTTATGTATGTTTGTGTATGTATATATATAGGTGTGTGTGTTGGAACCTATTATGTATGAGTTTGTGTGTGTATGTGTAGGTATGGAAACTTTGGTATATCATGACTGTTTTTATATATATCTAAGTATGTGTGCATAAAAGTCTATGTGTGTATATATATGTGTGTATTTAGGTTTATATATATGTACGTACATATGTACTTGTTATCATAGATATGTATATGTACGTATATGTTTATGTTTATATATTTATTTGTGTGTATTTCTGTACGTATATGTATGTATGAATATATTTTTTTTTTTTTATGTGTGTTAATTTGTTTTTGCTGCCGTATATATATATATATATATATATATGTATATATTTGTGGATTTCTTTTTATCCTGTTTTTCTTTTGTAAATATATAATGAAACTATTATCAACTTATATGATTAATAATATATATATATTTTTATTGATATTTATTGTTTTAGAGTTTTCGTTTTAATATATTAAATAATATTATTTTAAACATTTTTATCTTTATATATTTGCTCCCTTAAGTTATAATTCAATAAGTGGTTAGCATTTATTTAAGTCTGAAATATTTACTGGTTGTGATTTCTCAATGTCTATGCCATTGTGGATGTATGTTTGTGTATATATCGGTGTCTATGTGTATGTAGAGTGTATTCACATTTAACTGTGTGTGTGTATAAGTGTTAGTTTCCACGTCTCCTTTTTTCGTAAAGGGCTGTGGAGTTGTTCATGTATTCCCCCCACCTCTTTTTTAGTGTGTGTGTATATTTGTATGTGTGTGTGTGTGTGTGTGTGTGTGTGTGTGTGTGTGTGTGTGTGTGTATGTATCTAATTATGTCTGGATGCGTATGTATTATAATCTGATTGTGTTTTGTTGTGTCACGCGTGAGTTTAAGACCATATTCACAAACTTTAAAATAAAACGGAAAAAAAAAAATATATACATGTATTATCAGATGACCGGACGAATTGTAGCTTTTTGTCTTGTCAGACGTAATTTTAATGAAGAAATGAATTGAATAAACATATATATTTTTTCTTTTCTCAATAATTTTGTAGTTTTTAAACTTAATAGTGATTAAATTTGGATTTTTAAAATTGCCAGTTTTTAATTTTAATATTAAATTTTATCATATAAATTTATAATTATTAGTTAGTAAAAATTATTTTTAATATTACACGTATTTAAAGATCTAAATAGCTATAATAGCAGGATTTTGTTGTCAAACTTTTGAATCTTTCTGTACTTCGGTTTTGATTGGTTATTCTAGCTTTTGTAACAATGCTCCCCCTAGTGTAGGATCGTTAATTAATCTGAAACTTTTAAAACCATTTATTTTTTTTTCAACACCATCACTTGATAAGACACAGAGTGTGTTGAAACAAAATGGCTATTTTTGTAGTGATTTTATAACATACTTATGTTATAAATTTTTTTATAAAATAATTATATATATATATATATATATATATAGATAGATAGATAGATAGATACATATATATATATATATATATATATATATATATATATATATATATATAAACTGAGATAGATATGAAACTGAGATATAAACAAAGTGAGATAATGATGAAAGAAAGAAGAAATATACACGTAAGAGTCTATGATCAAATTAAACTGCTCATAGATATAGAGAAACAGGTTCATATATATATATATATATATATATATATATATATATATATATATATATATATATGATCAAATTAAACTGCTTATAGATATAGAGAAGCAGGTTTACATATATATATATATCTATATATATATATATATATATATATATATATATATACATATATAATTATGAAAGGACATTTATATTCCGACATATATATATATATATATATATATATATATATATATATATATATATAATATATATATAAATGTCTGTGGCCTGACGATTGCATCTAGCATGAAGCAGATTGTCGCCTCTAAGTGTTGACTTCTATGTTCACTTTTATATTTACACACGCTCTCCCTTGATATTGAGCACTTTTATCCCATAAATATAGCACATCTTAAGACTATATTTTTATTTATATTATATATATATATATATATATATATATATATATATATATATAATTAAACCAGTTTCATCGATAGATAGATAGATGATTTAGATAGATAGATAAAAT